TAGTGCTTTTGGCCCGATGATTTTAATGGTTGCTTTTATCAGACCTGTTTTGATATTATCAATACTGACCTGCTTAATGCCATCGAAGAATTTTTTTGTGGGGTTCCTATTCCTGAGAGCATTGGCCACACTTTTATCACTCTTATTCCCGAAGATTTTAAACCTGCTACCTTCGATAAATTCAGGCTGATTAGCTTGAGTAATTTTATCAACAAATTTTTTACTAGAATTCTTACTACTATAGTCACTCCTTTACTTGTCAAATTGACTTCCAAGAATCAAAGTGCCTTCCAAAAAGGTAAGGAAATTTCTGACACTATCCTGGCTATGAAAGAGCTTACTAATTGTCTTACTAAAAAGGTTAATGGGCACAACGTTTTCTTTAAAATTGACATGATGAAAGCTTTTGACCGTATCTCTTGGAATTTTCTTAAAGCTGTTTTGGACAGGTTGAGTTTTCATTCTAGCTTTTCTAATCTTATTCTCAATAACCTGGGAGGTACTTGATTCTCCATTTTAATTAATGGCAGCCCTTTTGGTTTTTTCCCTCCCTCCAGGGGATCAAACAAGGAGATCATTTGGCCCTTTTTATAATTCAAGAGCAGTGCTCTACCCCTTCTCTTTCCTTTGTGTGAGAGTTGAGAGAGGTTTCTTAGTGGTAGGAGAAAAAGCTTGGTGAGTGGGGAGGTCTATCCTAGAGTGGTGTGTGTGAGCCATTGACGGAGGTTGGAGACCTGAGCCGGAAAAGACGGAATACGATCCCAACAATTTCCAAAGTGTTGTCTAGGAATTTAAATCATTTTTTCACTAAGGGAGGTGGTAGGCCTTACCATACTCACATTGGTCTCTCTGTCATCTCTCACCTTTCTTACGCTGATGACCTCATCATCTTTTCCAATGGCAATAAACATACTTTAAAAAAGCTCTTTCTCATTTTGGGCTCTTTTGAAAAGTGTGCTGGGCAGAAAATTAACTTTGAAAAAAGCTCGTTTTATACCATCCCGATTACTCCCCAGGGTACCATTAATATGATCAGACATGTTTCTAAAATGAATAAAGGTATTTCCCTTTTCTTTATCTTGGGGTTAATATCTACTTGGGGAGAGTTAAAAAAAAATTATTTTTCGCACCATGCGATTAAAATATATCAGTGCCTCAATAGCCGGAAGAATAAAGTACTCTTTCAAGCTAGGAAACTTATTCTGATCAAACATGTACTGTTCACCTTTGTACATGATGGCATCTTCTAAAGTTCCTAAAAGGGTACTGAAAGATATGGAGAAAGAGTGTATTAAATTCCCTTGGCAGAAAGATGCCAATTCTAGTAGTAACTTTAGTTGAAGGTCATGGTCCAAATGCTCATATCCTTATAACAAAATTTCTTTTCTTCTGTGCTGTATTTCCAATAATCTGGTTGTGAATGCCGATTCACTCCAAAAAATGGGTTTTCATGGTCCATTTAATTGTCCCCATTGCAACCACTATGACTCCCTGGATCACTATTTCCTTCGCTGCACCGCTCACACACCCATCTGGCGGTATTTTGAGATTCCGAGTCATAGATTAGACGACAATCTTAGATCTAATATTCTTAAATGGACCAACCACAAACCCTTTCTTTGCTACATCACGATCTTTTGGAATCTTTGGAAATTACGCAATGCCACTTTTTATGATGATATTACTCCTAATTACTCTGAGGCGATTTATACCACCCGTAAGGATATTGGTTCCCTATATATCACCAATTCTTCTAAAAGACCTCTTACCTTAGACCCCAAACTGTTAGCTGGACTCCCGCTCCTCTAAACCACTTCACTCTTAATATTGGTCACTCTAAAAAAGGCCTTTCCCACCACTTCGACTTCATTATTCAAAACGATAAGGGTGATGATAGCCGTTATATTTACTTATGTTTAACATAAGTATTTATAAGTATTTGTTGAAGAAAGGAAGAGAAATTGGGCAAATACCTTCAGAATGAGAGCTAAAGCATAATACATTGTGATGAAGAGCTTTTTGGACCACGAGGATGACGTTTTGCCCATAATTCGAGTATAACTTATTGTGGAGAAATTGAAATCACTCTATTCGAATTTCATGTGAATTTTAACTCAATAAGGTACAAATGTTATGAAGACATCAAGGCCCGAATATGAAAGGATCAAGACTCAATCAACCAATAAAGTCAGATGTTGTTGGTGGGATTTCAGGATGCATACCTCTCAGTGTTTTATCCATATCTTTTGATTGGATGAATAAAATCACGTTATTCAAGTTCTGGTAGATAGACGACTTCATTGTCTACAACTTTGGTGAAAGAATCATGTCCAAATTCGTAGCGGAACATCCCCAAAATCCTAGGACAAAACCGGCATTGGAATTTCACGAAACCGGCGCCGGTCTGATGATTTTTGCACATATATGGCAAACCAGTAGCTTAACCGGCGCCGGGTTACCCTTATAACCGGCGCCGATTATGTCAAAATTCCATATTTTACCTGCATTCAAAGCTTAACCGGCGCCGGATTAGCCTATAACCGGCACCGGTTAAGCCTGATTCTGCTAAAACACAGCAACGTGCAAGAGGATTTTTGATGAGAAAACTTCATCTTTCTCATTTCTTGATCAAATATTGCTCCATACCTGATTGTTGGGCTCGAATAGACTAAAACATGTCATTCTTTAGCCTATATAAAGCCCTCAATTTATCAAACAAACACATTCCATTCCATAGATTAATTCTTAGCTTTTATATTTTTGTTCTTGGTATTTTCTTCAAGTTCTTGAGGAGGGAAGTTCATCCTCCAAAATCATTGGTGTTTAGGTATTATTTCCTTTGTAATTTCATGTTCCATTACATTTATTATTGTATTGTGATTAATAAGAGCATTAGTAGCTAATTTCTTAGCTAAGGCTAGGGATGAACTTCTATGCCAACTAGGTGTTTGATAAAAGTTCTAAACCAAAAAATTTTGATTTATCCTTTATATATTGATTGTTTATGACTATGGTGTACAACATAGAAGTATGTTAAATTTAGTTTATGCTTGCAATTAACGTTGAAGTCTAAACTATGAACATTAAAGGATAAACATATATAGTACCGAGAATAGAAATATATCCGTTCTTATATGATACGGGTGTGATGTCTTGATATTCAACGGGGTTTTCGGTAGATGAATGTAAGCCGTAACGGGACTTACACGTAACGAAAATCACGCTCTTGTTGCCTTAACCGGAGTTCAGAATATATTAGCGACATCGTATTCATAATTATTAGCAAAGAACTAATATTCAACCCTATTAAAGCATTTAAGTGATTCCCGAAGCCTTAGTTGTTGTTATTATTCATCTTAAACTCAAAAATTAGTTAACAATTGTCTTCTTGAACAAAAAGTGAAAAACCAAAAATATAAAACACAAATCAAAATCCATGCACTTTACTCATTTTTCATTTAAAGATATCTACTCTCGGACTTGAATTAAACAACGTTTCCTTGTGGATTCGATCCGGTATTTTACCACAATTTATTAATATATCGGCACTTGTACACTTGAAAGTTTAGCCCAATCAGGTGACATGATCAACCATCACCGCCATAACACATTTTACATATCCCGTATCAAAGCTTTCATTGAAGTAATCCTTTATTACTTAACACATTGCAGGGATAATGGTGTTCCTTTCACACACTTGGAGATTTCTGACCAACAAGTTATCCAAACAATCGATCTACATAGCATCAACCATTGGGATCAAATTCTTAGCATCACTTGCATCTGAAGGATTTTGCATCAAAACCATATCACCATTCATCATATCAAGGACAAGATCAACCGTGCGACTAAAGAGATAAGTTTGGGCGTTGATGACAATTCCTCCCGTTTTCTTAATATTCTCAAACTTGATGCTATTGCTTTTTCTTATGTCACTTAATTTCCTCTTTCTGGTAGGTTTTGGCCTAGTCGCCTTACCAAGTTGTATTGTATGCAATTCTTTAATATCTATCGATAAGGTGTTCCCCAACCCTTATCCCATCATTTGATAGTTTGCCACTGGGTTAAAAAAAGGGAAAAAAAAGAGTTGTATTTCTTAGGCCTCTTCCATTTGAGATACTTTTGGGTTGAATTTTTTGATGAAATTTCATGAGCATGTTCTCCATGATTTGTAGATTATGTTCACCAAGTTTCATCATAAAATTCAATCGGGAAGTCAGTTAAATAAATTATTGAAAAAAACTGCATTTTATATATATAAAAACCTGCGCAATTTTGAGAAACATATTGAACCGGCTTTCCGATTGAATTTCAATTTGAAATTTGGTGGGCATAGTCCACACTTCATGGAGATCACGTTCAGAAAAATTCATAAAAAAATTTGACCCTGAAACCCCTCAAATGAAAGAGATCTAAGATTATAACTTTTAGGCCTACCTTACAAGAACATTTTCCTATATATACTCCATCAGAAAAGTTTGACTGTGACTTTAATTATGAAACGGAGTGTGTGTGTGTCTATATATATATATATATATGTATATATATATATATATATATATATATATGTATATATATATATATATATATATATATATATATATATATATATATTTCAGATCAAATAAAAACCTTTCTTCCCGTGAAAACTACAAACCGGTCACTTTTCCCCCATTGTGATGCACTATTAGGTTTTTATATTGCACTTTTTCAAAATTCCATACAAGTTTGACTTGTTTACAAAAGTGCCACCGTTTTTTTCTATTTGACATGATTCGAGCAAAGTTCAAAAAGTGCAAGAGACGAACTTTAAAGTGAATCAAAATGAGCCAAAAGTGACGGTTTGCAGTTTGCACGATAAGGATGGTTTTTATCGGAACTGCACCCTATATATATATATATATATATATATATATATATATATATATATATATATATATATATATATATATATATATATATATATATATATCTATCATGAGGTTCCAACATAATTTAGAGAAATTCTCAAACTAAAAACGTTCTCAATTCCAAATTCCAGTATATGGGTTGATGGATAGTGTACCCGGTGGTAGCTTATCCGAAGGGTTATTACGGGGAACAAGAAGAGAGAAGTCAGAGCAAGTAAGTATAGAGAGAGAAAGTATATTGTAGAGTGTGGAGCGTTTTCAGCGTGGTTACAAATGGGGAAATGGGGTGCTATTTATAGTAGCAATAAATGTCGGACAGGGACACGTGTCAAGCGTCCATTGGCCGAGAGGTCACCTCAACTGGTTGGCGCTGGCAACCGCATGTGGCCGCATTTAATGCGGCTGTTGGATGGGACGTTGTACAGGGTACAGTGATCTGTACACATGTGGCGCGGATATCATGTCGGGGAAGGTGCCCTCGGCTGTAGGGGACTAGCCGAGAGCTCTGAGTACTGGGGACCCCCTTGGTGCCGAGGGCTCCAGGTGCCGAGGGCTACTGATTTTCGCCGTTTTTCCCAGTAACTTTGTTTTGCTGTCTTGGCCCTCCTGTGAGAGTTAGAGCCTTCGGCCAAGGGGCCGAAGGCACCCCTGGTGCGCATTTGTGGGCTGCTTGGTACTCTGGGCGCTGTGATTTGGGACTGTTGGGCCTTCTGGGCCTGTTGGGCCTTGATTGGAGTAGTAGGAGTCTATGGGCCGGGGGTTCCCGGGCCATATACTCCATCAGGAGTCCCTCACTCCTTTTGCCGAAAGGTACTTGAGGGAAAAGGAGTAATTGTGTTTGTCCTCTGCCTTTGTTCCGTTTGTAGTTTGTAGAGTTGTGGGTAGTTTGCTGTTTGTTGATTCTGCCGAGGGCAGTCCCTCAGTTACCCACATGTCGGGACTTGAGGGGTCATGTTTGTGATTTTTGTGATTTTTCCCGAGAGGGGGTCCTCCAGTCCCCCACTCCTTGAGGCACTTGCAAAGTGGTGAAAAGGAGTGAAGTATTTGCGTTGCTGTTGTGGGCCGAAGGCTGACGCTTTTCGTTTCATTTTGGGGGGATGCCTCGTTAAAAACCTCATTAGGAAAAACCATATGGGAAAAAATCCTAATGAGGGAAAAAGAGTGCACCGAGTTCCCCCAACGATGAATCAAAAATGTGAAAACTTGGTTCAAAATGGAGAATAATGATGATGCCGAAGGCTCTCCCAGTTCTGAGAGTTCATGTGTTGATTAGTCGGGGGCTTGCTGTTGATGTCCTGGGGGTGCCGAAGGGGGGTCCCTCAATCTGGGGATCGAGGGCGTAATGAATGATGGTAGTGGTTGGAGTGTTACCGGGGTGTCCCCTGTTTGTTGATTAGTTGGTGATGAGGATATCCGAGGGCTCCCATTACCTGTGTGCCGTAGGCTATCCGTCAATGAGGTATACTCCCCGGGGGCTACCCGGCCCCTACAGTGCTGAGGGGGGATCCCCGAGGGGTGGCCTGATATGAAGCCTTGGGCTTCTGAAGGAGTGATCCCGAAGGCGTCTGTTACGTACCGTGTGGGGCACAACCCGGGGGCGTCTCTGGGTAAGTGTACCCGGAGGCTTTCCCTGATGAAGTGGAGTGAAGTAAAAAACCCGGGGGCTCCCAGAATATAGCCGTTGGAAATATAGCCGTTGGAATATGTAACGTCAGGATATAGCCGTTGGGGGGTTGCCACGTCGTGCGTGCTCGTTGGCTGCCCGTGGGCGGGCGTCACCGATTGGATGAAACCTCGGTCGGTAATGATGGCGATCCAACCAGAGGCCCGGTTTCCAGGCCCAAGCCCGGATCCCAGTGCCTATAAATACCCCAAGGCCAGGGCCATTCTCCGCTGTGCGATTTCAGTGTAGCGAAGCTCTGGCAAAAATTTTCTAGAGAGAGAAACTTGCCTTCGGTTGAATCCTTAGTTCTCAAGGTCAGTTCCCCCCTGCTCTTCTCCTTTTAGTTAGCTGTGCCCTGTGCCTTTAGGCTAGGAGATAGAATTTTTTAGAAAACACTAGCGTTTCCGATCCCTCGAACTAGAGCCAAGATGTCTTCCCAGAGTGATTCCCAGGACATCTCGGGGGCGCCCTCGGTGGGGGATGAAGTCTTTTCGGACGTGGAGTCCTCAAGCGAACAGTCCACGGTGGGACAGGATGCCGTCGTCGCCCTGGAGCTGCAGAAAGCCCTCGTTGCTGAGGCGGAAACCGAGGGCTTCGAACAGGAGTGTGAAGATGAGGAGCTGGCCCTCGCCTGGCAAGCAGCTGAAGAAGAGGCGCAAAAAGAAGGCGCGAGGGTTACTATTGTTGTTCTCCCCCCTCGGGGCACTGGTGAGGCCAGCACCTCTCGGCCGCTGAACGCGGTTCCCATCCGGGTGGCCCCCGGAAAGAAGAAGGCCAAGGTCGCTGCTCCCAAGAAGAAGGGCAGCGTTGCAGACCAAGGGAAGCCCCTCTACATGCCCGAGGGGTACTCATACTTGAACACCGCCGCCTTAGAGATAAGGTCGAAAGCTGATGCGGTGGACATCTACGTCACTCAACTACACGTGGGCCCCTCGGCCATCGTGGTGACACCGGGTCCAGATGACGTCCTCTCCCGGACTCCCGAGGGCTGCATTGCGGTGCACATTCTCTCCGTGTCCATGGGGCTCCGCTTCCCCCTGCACCCTTTCCTCCGGGAGTACCTCCGGTTCGTGGGTTTGGTCCCCTGCCAACTGACCCCGAACAGTCATTCCTACATTACAGGCTTCCTCCAGCTCTGCAAGTCCCGGGGGGTAACACCTAGCCTGAATCTCTTCTTCCAGAGCTTTAATCTGTGACGGGGGGGCATGCGAATGCCGAGGGCTTCGCAAACTTGCAGCAGGTGGCCCTGTTCAAGCTCTTTACTGAGGCGCCCTCTTCGAACAAAGGGTGGAAAGACCGGTGGTGCTATGTGAAGCTGACCGAGAGCCCCTTCCCGAGGGAATTGCGTGACCGGTTTAGGAGGCACGAGAAGAGGAGGAGCGCCGCCCTCGAGAAAGACGGCAGGATCCTGGCCAAAATCCCGGAGGGCCGGGACAAAAATATAACCATTAAGGAGTGCACCAAAGAGGAGGATCTCTACACCCTCGGGTTCAGGCGGTATCGCTTCCTGGGGGAGACAGATGAGAAGTTCCCGACGTTTGAGGGAGCCTCCAGAGGTAGTGGCTGAGGGCACCCTTATTTTATATCTTAGCAGATAGTCCATCTGCTTGTTTGTTTCTTTTTTGTGTCATCTGTTAGTAACCCCTCGGTTTTAACCCCACACTGTCTTTGCAGGTATCCCAGTCAATATGATGAACGTCAGGGGGCTCGCTGATCTGAAGAAGAAAAAACCCCCCAAGGCCCCCGGGGGGACGGATGCTGGTGCCCCAAAACCCGCCGGTGACTTCTTCAAGAAGCCGGAGGGGCCATCGGCGGCTCCAAACACTGATGCAGCTGCCGCTGCCAAGAGGAAAGGCACGGGCAAGGCTCCCGAGAGCAAAAAGCCCAAGACCGGGGATGCCGGGAAGAAAAGCCCCCCGATGGTCATTGTTGACGATTTCCCCGCCTCCGGGGTGCACGAGGAGATGCCGGTGGCGAAAGTGCCGGGGGGTGTCCGGGAGCCATCTTCCGAGGTCCTGACGGTCTCCCTCCCGGTTGGTACGGCCGTGATGAATGGCACGGCTGACCCGAGGGCGCTTCTGAGAGGTATAACCCTCGATATTGACAGGGCAGCCCTCGGGGCTGATGATGACCAAGTCCTCGAGGACAGGATCCTCCGGTCTTCCCTCACGGTAAGTTTTTTTTTTGACAGTTTACCGTTTTTTGTTTGAGCCAGGAAATAATGTACGGCCTTCCTAACTTATCTTTTATTGTAGACCTGCATTGCCCTCGGAGAGCAAGCCCGGCGGCTAGAGGAGTGGCGTCTTCGCAAGGCCGAGCAGGATGCTAAGATGCGGGAGCTCATCCGCCAGAATTCTGATGCCGTCCAGCAGATGGCTATGCTGGAGGAGAGCCTTCGGCAGATGACCTTGCGGGCGGAGGCCGCAGATCGGGGCAGGGCGGAGGCTGAAAGGTCTGCAGCTGAGGCCCTTGAGAGAGCTGTCAGGGAGGCCGAGGCCGCCAAGATGGAGGCCGAGACCGCTAAGGTGGAGGCCGTCGAGAGAGCCCGAGGGGACGCCATCTCTGGGTTCTTGGCGGGGGGTGGCGAGCTGAGGAGCACAAGCAATGGTTGTCCTCGGTCGTCGAGTCCTCGGTCGACGAGTGGTGCGACAGGCCTGGAGTGGAGTGGGTTTCCCAAAAGGGTAAACAGTATTATGATGTGGGCGAGTTTTTCACCCAAGCCCTCATCTACCGGAGGATGGCTCGCCACCTGAAGATTGAGCCAAAGGATTTCGACCCGGCGGCATACGGGCTTCCCCCCTGCAGCCAGACGTCCGTGTTCCTCTCCCCTCCGATGTCGAGAGGCCAGACCTGGAGGACACCGAGCTCATGAAGGTAGCCGAGGGTGACGAACCTGTGGCCGATGCAGAGGTCACTTCGAAGCCATCGGAGGAGACGGCCCCCGGGAATGTTAACTTGTAATTTTTTGATGTAACATGTTTTGAACAATCCTTTTGTAATGAATGCGTGTGTGCTCTCGGCCTCGGCCATATATTGTAACATATACATTGGAATCCCCTCTTGACGAATGAATGATTGCCTTCGGGCTTTGTATATATGGCTTGTTTTCTTTAATTTATTTCTTCTCGAACGTATGTTGTCGTTTTCTTTTGAATGTATGCCTTCGCCCTTCTTTGAATGTATGCCTTCGCTTTCCTGAATGTATGTTTAGGACTTAGAATATATTCTTCCAAGTGTAGTGCTTCTTGTAGCCCTCGGCTACTAGTAATTTTTCGTCAGTTGAACCTTTCACCGAAGGCACAATGTTCAGGACTTAGAAATATTTCTAAGTGTTTGTTCATATGTTGGCCCCCGGCTGATCCTTCCCTCCGGTTCTATGTAGCCTTTATGAGATGACCGGAGGTGAGGTGCTTAGGACTTAGAAAATTTTTCTAAGTGTTTGAATACAGTTGTAGCCTTCGGTAGTTGGGCACCCTTCGATGGATATATAACCGAGGGCCCAGCAATAGTTAGGACTTAGAGAATGTTTCTAAGTGTAGTCTCACCAATCCTTCAATCGTGTGACCCCTCGGGCTGCAAGGAGATTCGAGACTTAGAAACTTGTCACCGAGGATAAGGCTTTTGGGACTTAGAAATTTTTCTAAGTGTAGCATGTATGAAGTAGGAGCCCTCGGGCAGCATGGAGATTTGAGACTTAGAAACTTGTCACCGAGGATAAGGCTTTTGGGACTTAGAAATTTTTCTAAGTGTAGCATGTATGAAGTAGGAGCCCTCGGGCAGCATGGAGATTTGACCGAGGGTCAAAGTATGTAGGGCTTAGAAAAATTTTCTAAGTATAGCTTCACCAAGTCTTCAACCGCATGGCCCCTCGGGCAGCATGGAGATTTGACCGAGGGCCAAAATATGTAGGATTTAGAAAAATTTTCTAAGTATAGCTTCACCAAGTCTTCAACCGCATGGCCCCTCGGGCAGCATGGAGATTTGACTGAGGGCCAAAATATGTAGGACTTAGAAAAATATTCTAAGTATAGCTTCACCAAGTCTTCAACCGCATGGCCCCTCGGGCAGCATGGAGATTTGACCGAGGGCCAAAATATGTAGGACTTAGAAAAAAAATTCTAAGTATAGCTTCACCAAGTCTTCAACCGCATGGCCCCTCGGGCAGCATGGAGATTTGACTGAGGGCCAAAATATGTAGGACTTAGAAAAAATTTCTAAGTGTAGTATGCGTGAAGTAGGAGCCCTCGGATGACTGTGAGGACAGTGTTTGGGGTATGCCCTCGGCTGGCTGGTGGCTCCACAAAGGGCAAAGTTTTTAGGACTTAGATTATTTTCCAAGTATTTCCTGCTGCTGGCCTTCGGTTGTAGGCGTTGTAGGTTCAGGATAGTTTCCTCTGCCTTGTGATGTTGGCCTATGGCCACAAAAGCCTTCGGTTGTTTGTCATATGGTGCCCTTCGGGGATTTTTTGAGTTGTTTGAGCCTTCGGTTTTAGGTATAGCCGGAGGCATTCCTGGAGTGGATTTAGCCATTCGCTGATGATGTCTGTTGTGAATGGTATCCTTTGTACTTGTGAACTTCCAAGGTCCCGAAGGTGTTCCCGTGGGAAGCCCTCGGTATGTTTTTGCAAATTGTTGGAATGATGTACTCATTGATTTCTCGCCGAGTCTACTCCCCTTCACCACCCTATTTTTTTTTTTGAGTAGTGAAGGGAAGGCTTCAAGAAACTTGGTTTCTTGGTAAGGCTTGGCCTATCGGGAGGTAACAGAATACACCATTAGCTCCCCCCTCGGGTTAACCTTCCGAGTTCCGAGGGGATCGAGAGTCGTTTCCTGGGCACAAGATATGGTGGTCTGTAGCCTGCCTCCCCTTGGGGGGTGGCGCGGAAAGCGTCTCAGTTTTGAAAGTCGTCCCCTCGGCGCTATACGTAGTCCGTGGCCTGCCACACCCTTGGGGTGGTGGCGCGGGGAGCGTTTCGGTTTGGAAGTCGAATCCTGGGCATTTCTCGTGCCTGTCATACCCTTGGGGTGATGACGCGGAAAGCGTTCCATTTTTGAAAGTCGAATCATGGGCATTTCTCATGCCTGTCATACCCTTGGGATGATGACGCGGAAAGCGTTTCAGGGAAGGGTTTTCATTTGCACACTAGTGGCAAATGGCCGGGTGCACTACGTGCTGCCGGCACCGATAGGTGGCGCCTTCGGTATAGGCGTCCTCGAGGGGTACGACTTAGAAACAACATTTGGTGTTTGTTCCGATGTATGGCCCCCGGCACTTGGTACCGAGGGGTCTTCTGTAAAAACACTTGGTGTTTTTCCTTCACTTGTCGTAGAGGATTACGGTGTCTACCCTTGGTACTTGGTACCGAGGGGTCTTCTGTGAAAACACTTGGTGTTTCCTCCCATTTTTTTGAAGGTGATTGTCTTGTCTACCCTCGGTATTGGGTACCGATGGGTCTTCTGTGGGAACACTTGGTGTTTCCTCCCATTGGTGGAGAGTTGATAATGGTGTACCCCCCGGCATCAGGTGCCGAGGGGTCTTCTTTTGAGGACGGGTGGTACTTTGTTGTAGGTGATAGTATTGTCTACCCTCGGCACTTGGTGCCGAGGGTTCTTCTATTGTGGTGAGGCCTTGGGCCTGAGGGTGACATGAGGGCTTGGCCCTTGTGGTAATCTTGTTCCGTGTTCTCGGTGTCTTCAAAATGCCTTCATTCTTCAGAATTCTTAGGCCTTGGGCCGTAAAATAGTACATTCACTCGTTATGAGGGCTTGGCCGCTCTGATGCTATTGATAAAATTTAACTAAGTGATGTACATTCCAGTGCCTGGGGACTTCAGTCCCGTTAGGGCGTTTTAGTTTGTAAGTTCCTGGTTTGATGATGGCTGCCACGATCTAGGGGCCCTCGAACTTGGGTGCCATCTTTCCACCCTCGGTTGGTTGGCTAGCTTCCCTTCTTCGGAGAACATAGTCCCCCACTTGGAATTCCCGGGAGCGAACCTTGGCGTCAATGTAACTTTTCACCTGCCTTCGGTAGTTCTCTGCGCGTATGAAGGCTTGCTCCCGGCGTTCTGAAATAAGGTGAAGGTCGAGGGCCATATTGGCGTCGTTGGCCTCTGGATCATACTGTGTGACCCTTCGGGTTGGGAGAGTCACCTCTGTGGGGGCTTTGGCTTCAAATCCGTAGCAGAGGGAGAAGGGCGTCTCGCCAGTTGCCCGCCGAGGGGTAGTACGGTAGGCCCACAAGATGTTGTGGAGCTCTTCTACCCAACCGCCCCCTTCGGCTTCCAGCTTCTTTTTTAGGCCCTCGAGCAAGGTCCTGTTGGCGTTCTCCACTTGACCGTTGCCCTGAGGGTAAGCAACGGATGAGAAGGTGTGTTTGATGCCCCATGCCTCTAGGAGGGCACAGAAGGGGGCTGCCTCGAACTGAGTCCCGTTGTCGGAGATGATTTGCTGAGGGACGCCAAACCTGGTGAGGATGTTCTTGAGAACAAAATGACGGCACCTGGCCTCAGTGATGCTGGCGAGGGGCTCCGCTTCCACCCATTTGGTGAAGTAATCGATAGCGACAATGATGTACCTGTTGTTGGAGGTACCCCTCGGCAGAGGGCCCACAAGGTCTATGCCCCATCGAGCGAAGGGTATGGATCTGCTGATGGGGGCATAGTTGACCACTGGCCTGCCGGGGGCTTTCTGGAAATGTTGGCATGCGGGACACCTCCGGGCAAGGTCTGCACAGTCCCGGGCCATCGTAGGCCAGAAGTAGCCCTGGATTATTAGCCTCCGGGACATGGAGAAGGTTCCCTGGTGAGCTGAGCAAGTGCCACTGTGTACTTCCTCCATCGCCACTTCGGCTTCATCTTGATGAAGGCACCGAAGTAGCGTCCCGTTGTAGGACCTTTTGTAAAGCCTCCCGTCCTCGATAATGTAGCTGGGAGCCCTCAACTTTTCCAGTTTGGCGCGGGCCTCGTCCTCGGGCAGTTGCCCTGTGGTGATGAAGGCAACAATGTCCGAGACCCAGTCCTCCTGTCTTTGCTGTATATTCATGACGGGGCTAGCATGTATGCTGGAGAGGCTGAGTTCTTCCACTTTGGCAATCTTGGAGATGTGCTCAGGGGATACTGCCGAGAGCTTTGATAAAATGTCGGCCTCGGAGTTTTGAGCCCTCGGTATTTGAGTAAGAGAGTGTGCTTCAAATACCTTAAGCAACTCCTTGGCCGCCTCCTTGTATTGCTTCATTCTTCCTTCCTTGGCCTCGTACTCCCCGGAGATTTGTCCGACGACTAACTTGGAGTCGCATTTGACGTGGATTTGTCGGGCCTTCATGTTAGCTGCCAGTCTAAGGCCACATAGGAGAGCCTCGTATTCGGCTTCATTGTTGGAGACTTTGAAGGAGAAACGGACTGCATAATAGGCCCGGAAGCCCTCGGGTGAGATGAGAACCACCCCTCCTCCGCATGCCTTGATGGCGGAAGAGCCGTCGGTGTAGAGGGTCCACCAGTAACCTGAAGGGGCCGAGGGCTCCCCGTCCGTGGCTGCCTTCGCCGTGCACTCCGTCACGAAGTCCGCCAGGGCTTGGCCCTTGATGGCGGTGTTAGTCCTTGTTTCTGTAACAACAATGAATAACGATCTAACAACGAAGATTAAACGTAAAGATGAACACAGAATGAATCAACGTAAAACCTTCTTTGATAGACCGTGAACTCGTACAACACAAGAATATGCGCGTAAGGCTGTGAAGAATAAGTACGACGTTAACCTATTCCTAAACCTCGGCTCCCTTTTTATTGGCGAGGTTTAGGTTAGGCGTACAAGGCTTTTAGCCTGTTTATATGGGTCTAACACTTGGCCCGATTGCTATCTAATTCATGCACTAATTAAATACAATGATTAATTATAAAGCTAATCTATGACCAACTTGATTCACAATTAAATATCTCCAACAATCTCCCCCTTTGTGATCAAGTGTCATTCTCTTATTGCTTCTGAGACTTGAAGTAGTGCTTCCTCATACCAAGTGCATGTTCATATTGCCTCAGCACATTTCTCTTTTCGAGGCGA